GAAGATATTGATGATTGTTACATCAACAATTGCTGTTGTATTATGAGAAGATATTGATGATTGTTACATCAACAATTGCTGTTGTATTATGGGAAGATATTGATGATTGTTACATCAACAATTGCTGTTGTATTATGGGAAGATATTGATGATTGCCACATAAACAATCGCTGTTGCATTATGGGAAGACAAGTGTGATAAAATTATAATTCTACTGCTAAAATATGTCATTTGTCAATATTCAGGGAAGGGAACCCAGTCTTCCATCAGCTGGTGTCAGCACTCCTGCTGTATTCATTCCATTTAAAACAGGTCAGTATCATACTAGACGATGGACAGTGAAGGACATGACTGTTCAAACACAAATTGCTGTTGTTTGGTCTAGTGTTTTCCAAAATACTAAACTTACTGTAACAGAAGATACATGTAGCCCTGGTATCCTTTTTGGGGTTTTGCTGAAGCTCCAAGTACATGCTATATATATATATATACATGTATGACTCTTGATGATGAAATGCTCTTTGGACCAGTTGCCCAAATTTTGTGAACATATGGTCATGGAAGGATTCCATCATGGTATTTGTGAGACATAGGCCACATTCACATAGAGTTGAGCCATGGCTCTACAAAGCCACGACCTAAATATGGCAGATGTACATGAAAGGAATACTGCCTAATCTTTTAATAGTCTCCCTGCCTGTCACACGCCTCCCCATGCGTCGTCCCTGCGGGGGTACAGTCATTAAATCTCGGCTCCATTGGGACAACACATGGGGAGGCGTGTGAGAGGCGGAGAGACTATTAAAAGATTAGGCGGCTTTCCTTTCATGTTCATCCGCCATATTTAGGTCGTGGCTTTGTAGAGCCATGACTCAACTCGATGTGAATGCGGCCATAACTTGGTAAACACGGTGAGAAATGAGATGTGTTGTTCCAAGTTAAACTGTCCCAACTGGTCTAGAAATGCAGCTTTTATTAATATGATATCTGGACTCTTATATGACACCTTCATTTATGTTTCTAAATGTGGTAGGATGTTTTTTGTCAAAAAATGTGCAGTGTATCACATGCTTTGTTCATTGTGCATTTGTTTCAGATTCAGATGAGGCATTGTTTTGTCCTCCTTCTCACCATCCTTTTTTCAAAAAAGTTGGTAAGAATATGATGAGATTTTCAGTTGAGAGTGACATAGAGTAGAGAGGATTTTGTTTGGTGACCTTTTCTCACATGATGTGTATTCTGGTCTTGTTTTTTCACTTTTAACTTCAAGCATTCTCATTTCGGTACTGTCAATTGGAGTTACTTTTACTAACAGCTACTTTTTGAAATACAACATAACATGATTTCACCTAAGATTCAGTAAAATAAAGCAGGCTGATTTTTTTTCAAAACTTATTTTTGTTCACATCGGTGTATTTTAACTTTTTTAATTAGATTAACCTGGATAAACTTTAAAATATAGTAGTTATGAGGCTTTTCATAAATTTGTAAATATATATTTATAGCATTTCAACTGGATGGTGATATAAAGCTGGTATTTTAATATTATTGAAATTAGATTCATGATTAGTTATTTATTTATTTATTTATTTATTTATAACCTGCTTTGCCTGGGATTAGAGGTGGTAGTTTCACATGGGAACTATTGACTGGCAGCTGAGTTGGTCTTAACTTTATTTTTTTATAACTAGAATCATATAGCTGCTTTAAGCCTAGATAGGTCAGTAGAATTCCACTGCAATAAAAATAGCATCTTGAATTGAAGTAGATTAAAGCTTTTGATCTTACAGTCAAGGTTTTTATGTTTTTTTATTAACACCCGAGTTGTCTTCTTTTCAACACATTTACTTGAAATAACATCTAACGTCACACTTACTGCAATGGTGTATATTGTAATCTGACTTGCCTATAGGTTGAATGATTCAGCTGTGCTTTCCAGATATGCATATGGGACTTGGGCATTTAGTTTGCTATTTATGTATATTTAGAAAGTGTGTGTGTATGTGTGTGTGTGTTTATGTCCATCTGTGTGATTTTTGTGCTTGCATGTCAAAGCATTTGCCTATTCATGCATCATTCCAGAGAGAGAGGGAGGGAGAGAGAGAGAGAGAGAAAGAAAGATAGATCAATGAGAATTAGTTTTGCTGCCTCAAGCTTTTTAGGAGTATACATTATGCATATCCACCAACCTTTTGTGCATTGCTTTTTAAAGTACTTCTGTATTCTATCTTACAGGGTAGGAAAAACTTGTATATACCACTGCACACATCTTCCAGATATAATCATCACTAAAAAAAAAGAGAGTTTTCATATTCACCTTATTTAGCTTTGAAATTGGAGACATCTTGCAATAATATGAGTAACAAAAGTGGTTATATCTGGGGGAGGGGGGATGGGTCTTGGTTTCCAGTGTAGAAAATATTTGAGTACATTTGTAAAGTTTTTTGATAGCAAGGTATAAACATCCGCCGTGAATGAACAGAGGTTCACTTTAGCAGCAACTATTGTACTGATAGATCACTTATTGCATGCATTTGTCCTATCTTGTTCCTCATTATACTAACATACTAAACATATGGAATCAGCATTTTTTGACCTATAGAAAAAAAGGCAATGCCCCTGAGACATGTATGGTGAAATATTGGCATATTTGATGATGTTTGGTGAAATAATGGTATATTTGGTGATGTTTGGATAAGTTTGGTTGGTACATTGACTAATTTGTTTTTTTTTTTTTTCTCCTTTTTGTGTAAAATGTGTGAGAATTGGACTTTTGGTAATTAGAATTAATATGGGTGAGCATGACGTTTTCTTTATAGTGCCTTCTTGGATCAAGTAGCGAGCTAAAGCCAAAATAGTATTATACTAATAGTGGACAATGCATGTGGTCATCATAAATGGATTTATGCTGACATTTTTGAAAGAGAAAATGAGTTCACTAAATCACACAGTTTAGAAATAAGGTTGAGAATAGGTTTATTGATAGATATTAAAAGAGAAGCTCACCAGTGGTATATTTAACCCTATGTATGGGTCTATTCCCACAACTTTAGATCGATCTATCACCGCGGGGAGTCTCACTAGATTACTGTCAGATAATCCCCCTTAAGTGTCCGTCCCCGCCTACTAGAAGCTGTAAGGAGTAATTAACTTTCGTATCGGCCCGGCTGACAGCTATAGCGCGAACCCCGGGGAGTTAGGTCGATCTAAAGTAGGTTGATCTAATCTATGGAAATGGGGTGTATGATTCTTGAACTAATCTGTCCAGGATGACACACATGATCTTAATGCCTTGAATTTCAGAAATATATTATGTAAAAAATAAAGGTGTCTTTGCATTTCTCATTGTTTTGATATTATTGTTTGAAATTCTTATCTTTTGTGTTACTTTGGCCATTCACATTTAAAGATAAGCTGCATTTTATGATGATTTAATTCTTATTCTTATACCGTGAACATTTAAAAATGATTTGTTATTTTATCCTTTTCAGATGTTTCTTATCCATGTAAACCACCATAATATTTATTCATGGATAACAAACAAATTATGACAAGAAAAATGAGCTTATCATGGCATGTATCTTTGTCATTCATATTTTTGTTTAATTTGCAGTAAAGTTTCCATCAAAAAAAATAATAATAAACTCATCGTTTGCTCCATTTCAGAGTTTCCACACAGAAATGAACGTAAACCACAAGGACCACGGCCCATGATTAGAGCATGGAAGCTGCCGTAATGCCCTAGTAGGATGGCCTTGGCCTTGACCTTGACCTGGGTCAAGGTCATTCTAAGGTCAATCTCATATTAGCATTAGTTTTATGCCTGAGAATAAATAAGACTCATTCATAAATGTATGTCTTGTCAAAGTGCCATTTACTTATTGTTTTTAGGAGCAATGTTAAAGAAGTTAGGTATCCTCGAAGTTTTGCACTTTGACAATTAGCCAAAATACTTGAAGGTATCCTGTTTAAGATTAGTACAGTTATGAAGAGTTATAATAGAGTGTTGGAGGTAACAGGTTGTAAGATGCACTTATAGCAAATGAGAAAAATTGACAAAACTGCACACAGTTTCAATCTGTTATGTGTTCTTGTTCAGTGTAGGTAATTGTATCACATGTTCAGAGGAAAAAACTTTGAGGCTGCTTTTGAGTGCAAAATCCTACATGTTTTTGAAACTCATGTTGCAGTGCACTTCTTGAATGTACTATGTTGTTTGTGCTATTTTTGTGCCATATTAGAAGTACATTTTTGAGTAGTAAAGCTCATTCTTATTCTTGTATATTTATGAACAGTAAAATGTCTTTTCTCTAAATGTTTAAATGGCTTTGTAAAGCTTTGAGCTGCTTGATGCTAAAACAATATCCTAAGAAATATTCTTACTGTTAATCATACATTTTATG